CGGCGGGACTGCCCGCCCTAGTGCTGGAGCGGTCTGCCACGAAGGGAGTGTGTGCAGGGATCGGAAAAGGCAGTGCAAATCACATCGCTTTGGATACCACCGTTTCTCCCCAAAGAATGCAGCCAGCCACTCGGGCCACTCCCTTCTTATCTTGTTTGGACATCGCCACTTGCTGCCTCTCTTCCCGCTTTGCTGCTCTTTCCGGTGGGCTCCGGCTCACTCCATCCCACTCCATCCCTTGCCTGTTCGGTCGGTCACAGTGATCTAGGGCTGAACGGAAGCGTTTCTATATTGGCGTTTTATATTTTGAGCACGTTTTATAGGTGCTTCTCAAACAGGAAGCAAGTACTGTTAGCCGGACTGAGAGCTCCAAGGTTATCTGCACACTCGTGCTGACACTGTTATGTTGAAGACTTTGCTGTTAGTAGTAAGGAATAGAACTTCATTTAGACAATTAAATTTTTTTTAACGTGAGCCAGGAAATCTCAGGTTTATCTTATGTTCAACACAGTATTATGAGCCAAGGTAAAAATTTTCATTTCCTTTGCTTCGGTAATCTCTTGGAAGAGTAGTTGTGAGAACGAGAATGATACAGGCTCAGTATCTCAAGACAGCTGCCCAGAGTTTGTGTTCCAGTGGCATGATCTAAAGATTAGTAATAATCACATTTCTGCTTGTGGAATATTTCTCAGGATGGAATGTAGTGATCCTGATGTAGCCCTAGCAAGACAACTGGGTATTCCACTTTTTGAAATGATTTTGGCCAATATTACTAGTTTCCATCTACAAGTTTTTCTGGCTCTCATCTTGCTGTAGTTGGCAAACATGTGTGTAAGAGCGACAGGGTGGCAAACGAGCTAGTTGAACATTAATGCTTGCCAGTACTGCATCTTAGTAGTAAGCCTAGATTGGTTCATGGTATAAAACAGAAAGACAAGATGCATGACTTATTTTGTTTTGTTTTTTAATTATAAAGGCCTCATGATGTTTTTTACTCTCAGAACTTCACTATGAAATCCTGCTTGCAGAGTCACTCTTCCTGATGGAAGAAATGTTTATTTCTTTTAGCAACCAGCACTTTCAACAGCAGGAGATGGTTGTGTTGATAGCCAAGAGGTTATTTCATTTTGTTTTTTTCTCTTGTCACCGCCTACCATTAAGTAGGGTTGGGTTATGAAGCACACCCTGTCAGAAGAAATCAAAGATGCTTAGGTTAAGAAAGTGCCAAGATACGTATTGCCAGTAGAGTTATGTATATACGTTTAACACACCTATTCTTCTGTTTAAAGGAGAAATCTCAGGATTGCATGTATCTCCAGTACTGTAAAGTGTGTCAGTCTTATAAGGCACCACGTTCACACCACTGCCGAAAGTGTAACAGGTATTGTTTTCCTTTAAAACTGCTTTAAGTCTGTATTAAAGTAGCTTCAAATCTAATGGTGAACTATTCATGTAATTCTTCCAAGTCTTGTATTGTGCATTTTTTAAAGACTTCCATATGAACACTATACCTGTTTCAAATATTTCCACTTCTTAGTTGTATGATTTCTGTATGGGTTTACTCTGTTTAATAAATAGATCTGTCTCTAACATTTTCTTTTTAGCTTGAAATCAGTTCCTCTCAAAAATGTATTGACAGTATTAACAAAACATAGCAGTACTGTTTCAGGGAAGTGAGCCTGTGTCAATACCTAAAGATCTTTAAGTCCTTTCTAAGTTCTGAGTCCAAACACTCACCTGCTCAGGAGCAGAAAAGCCTATTCTGTCTCTTTCAAAGTGGGAGTTAACTGTTGTTTGAGTGGAAATTTTCGCCTGTTCTTTACTCATCACTAAAGGGTTTTGGGGGCTTTTTGAGGGGAGTCTGCATGTAATGAACTAAGAAGTCTTTTGGGTCAACTTAAAATTTTGTGCCTTGTTATGTGTTAGTCTTCCAACAGACTTGTTCTGAGATAAAGGATGCTTTTAATATAAATAGACCTACTGGAATTTAGTGCAGCTTGAAAAAAGCAAGGCACTCAGCTGTCTGCAGTCCAGGCTGTGGTTGCATTTATCTTGGGTTTACTGGGCAGGTCCTCCTCTGAAGGACTACTAGAGAATGTGGTAAAGGGATGTTGCAACATATGCGTTCATTTGTTGTTTATATAAACACAAGATGTGCAGTCAGTGTGCTTTAGAAAGTAGGAACTGGAACTGTAGAGCAGTGCTGTAATTTGGCTGCATCATCCTGAGATTTAAAATTACTCTCTTCTCCTTGAGTGCCAATCTTTACACTGAGGACTTAGTAGAAAATGGCAGCAGATGCTGCTGATTGTCTTTGCAAAAGCAAGTTCTTTAAATAATTTATATTTTGTCAAATAAACCAGAAGAAGCTACAGCACATCCTCCAAATCATTTTGCTGATATACTTTAAGAATTTTTTGCCCCCTCAACCCTGGCCAAAGTAACTAATTCCACACGTATTTCTAGCCTGTTGCAATGAAGTAGGTAACTGAAACCATCGCTGAAAGTCATCTGTGCTGTGGCAAGCTTCAGTGCGTGAATGGAGTCGCTTGGTGTAGCCCACCTGAAAGGGGTGAGGTGTCTAGCCAAGATCTAGCAACTCCTTCAGAAACACTTGTGCTGATAATTACATGTTCAAGAACTTGTACGGTGGCCGTTGAGCATATGCTAATGAAGAATAATTCATTCTTTAAAAGGAAGAAACTGAACTTCCTATTGGGAATGGACTAGCTTAAAAAATAATGAGGTCAGTAGTTCCAAAACAAATTTTATTTTCAGAGGAGATGGATATTTGTGTACTTCAGTCCTTTATTTATCACTCAGGTTTGGTGCATATGAATTCCAGCATTATAATTAGTGACTTTTACACCTATTAAATTACATCAATGCAGTTTGGGATGTGGACAAATCCTATATCAGGTGTTTTTTTGAACTTGCAAGCTAAACCAAAATAACTAGTTTTGTACCGAATACAAGAGTGTCTCTAGGGTTTTTACGCTTGTCATATAGATTTTTGAAAAGGACTTAAGGGTGAAATGAGGTCGATACACAGCAAGTGATGAAACTTTCAGAGGGTCTACTACTGAAAAGAAGGAGGCATTAACACATTTCTGTCTGTGTATTTTTATGTGTTTTTTCTTTTCAAGTAGTTCACATAACTGTTTAACTATTGTGTTGATGGTTCTTACACTTCCCGTTCTAGGCTTCTGTCTCCTGGCTCTGGAATATGGTGTTTATTAGCATGGGAGGGATAGTTAGGGTAGGACCTAGAAGCACTTTCTGGTTTGTTTACTCTACAACATGAAATATCATTTTGAATACCAAGAAAAAAGGCCCTACTATGGTGACCTGCTGGTGATTGATGGGTTTAAATCCATCCATTCATAGTTCAGTAGTAGAAAGTTAGTTGTCCTTTTCTTAGAGCTTTTTGGAAAAGCATCATAAATGTCCTTTATATTGATCAATACTTATTATTCACAGATGTGTCATGAAGATGGATCATCATTGCCCTTGGATCAACAACTGTTGTGGATACCAGAATCACGCGTCTTTCACTCTGTTTCTCCTCTTAGCTCCACTGGGATGCATTCACGCTTCTTTCATATTTGTTATGACTATGTACACTCAGCTTTACAACAGAGTAAGAAAACATAATTAAATGCTTAAAAATATTGTTTCAGTCAGATGGGTAACTTATCTCTGGAAATATCAGATGATCTGTTTTCCTGAGAAGCAGCATGTGAAACTGCTTTGTATTCTTTCAACAGGTACTCTCAATTCTGCTCTGCACTTTTGAGAAGTGTGGTCAATAATGGGAGGATTCAGAGAAAGTTGTTTCTATTTTTTTTTCCTTCCCCCCCCGTTGTTTGTCATAATCACTGGGAGTTTCCTAGAGCTTTGCATTGACTGAAGACAGTTTCTGAGTAGCACGTTATAGAGTGAGAGACAGGCTGTGTTTTGGCTGGCACAGAAACTAGCTGCTATTTACTTCCAACACACAAGTTGGATACTATTAATTTTCTTTTGCTTGCCACTTTTTTAGAATTGTATCCCTTTCTATAAGAAAAAAAAAGTACATTCTTTTTGGAACTAAAACTAAATTATGCTGGATTTTTTTCTTTAATGTGAAAATGTAACTGCAGCAACAATGAGCAAAGCTTGTTCTAGAATTACATCCCTTGTCTCAGATCTGTGGTTAAGATTATGAACTTTGATTTCAGTCTTTGTGGTTGCAGTGAAGAACTTGAAAACATCAACTGAGTGTAACATACGCAAGGTGTGTGTTGTATTTGCAGGGCAGTGACGTTGAGAACTGCTACCTGCTAAAGCTTTCAGAGAAAAACCTGCAGCGTTTCCATTGAAAATGGATGCTGCACTGTGCAGATGCTTTCTGTCTGAAACTGGTGAATGCATTTTTTTTCATGTCCAGATATCTTACAAATTTTAGTCCTGACTTGTGGAGCTTGCAAGGTGGTGATTTTGGTTTAGCTTTCCATGGAGCAAGGAATGTATTTCTGCATAGAAGTCTTTGGAACATTTTTTTTTGTTGTTAATTATTCCACTTGCATGTTAAACCTGTCAGAAGTTGGGCACCTACCTTCAGAGACAGACTTCATATTGGTAATTTGTTTTGTTTCAGCAGTCAGAATGTTCTAGAGCTGAATGGTGATATTTTCCCTTTGCAGATATCTTTTGGGTGGAGTTCTGTAAAGATTGACATGAGTGCAGCCAAGAGAGACCCTCGACCCATTATTCCCTTTGGACTGTCTGCATTTGCTGCATCTTTGTTTGCCTTAGGACTGGCATTAGGAACAACTATTGCCGTTGGTATGCTGTTTATTATCCAGGTATGCTTACGGCTTCTGTTAAAAAGAAGTTAAAATCTGTAAATTTTTCCTGATTGTGGATGAGAGAGAGAATTCAGAATTGACACAGGAGCAGTTGTTTAGAGCTTATGTTGCTGTGTAACTTTAACTTTTCCAGGGTTTTATACTGCTTTCTCCCAATTCCTTTGCTGTTACCACAATTATTTTTTTTTCCTCATGGGAGAAATTGGAGGTGAAAATCCAGTGAGCTAAGAAAACATGAGCTAGACTTTATGAACTCTGGAAAAGGCAAAATACTTGGTATTTCAGGAGAATATGTCCATGAAAATAGGAATCAACATGCATGATATGTTACTTCAAATGTTTGAGACCTTTGGAAGGAAACAGAAGTACAAATTTTAAGCATAAACTGAAGTACTGTGTAATACTGTCAAAGTGTGTAATCCTAGAGGATAGCATTAGCATGCATCTATGCTGAATTTTAATTTTGTATGTTTTGTATGTTTCATGTGAGCCTACTGTTGTTTAAAGCAAATTTAGTTTGTTCAGTGACGTTTTCTTTGCCTAGCTTATGTATTTCTGCAGGAACTCAACACTAATTCCACCTAACACTTTCACTTATTTTTAGATGAAAGTCATTTTGACAAATAAAACTTCAATCGAGTCATGGATTGAAGAAAAGGTGAGGTTTTATTACAGCACTCTTGTACTGTATTGTTACAATGATTATTTTCCATATTTATCAATTTATTGTTTGACCTGTCTGGCTTTAAACCAAAGATGTCATTTCAATTCACCACTGACTTAACACCTTCAACCTGCTTTTCCCTTAGCGTGGCTGAAATTCTCTGAAATAGATGAGAAATCCTTTCACTGCATATATTTTTCTTTCCTTTTTTTGTGAATCAGTGTGGCCATAGAAAAGTAACCTCTAGCAAAGTATTGTAAAAGCAGGTTTCACATTTTTTCAGAGGAAATGTAGCCAAGCAGCAGAAGCTATGTTTAGAGGACGCAAAGTGACTCAATATTTAGAAAGTAGTTCAGTGCTACCAGATTATTTTGTATAAGTCCACAAACATTCCATTATTACCTTGTGTTTCTTTTATTCTCTGTCAAAATTAGCATCAGCATCTTGACTCTGTAGAGGTACCTAAGTACTGTAATGCCTTCTCTTTGCACGGAACGTAGCTTAGCTGGATCTTAGACCTTGTTAGACCTTTGAAAAATAGGGCAGTGGAACAGGAATGAAAGAAAACCCCATTACGACTATGCAATAGAATTTGGAATAATCTGTTCAATTTTTTTTTTTTTACTGTAAAACCCAGACTGCTAATATGTCCCTTCTGAAAGCTGCGCATAGGCTGCAGTACAGCAGTGTTTAACACAAACGACCTTATTGCAGCAGAGAACAAACCCTTCGGTAGCTGCTCCACTAGATGTCAGCATTACTGAGAGAATGAAATGAAACGGTGGTGAACACAGGAGACCCAAAACATGCCTGTGTGCGCTGTTCTTAGAGATAGATGGAAGAGACATACCAGTGTTGAATTACGCTCATGATCGTTAATCAAAGAATCCTGAGCTGTGGAAGTCTTTGTATGTAACTGAGAAATAAAAAGGCATCGGCCTTTGAAAAAAGCCATAAAATCAGAGCATGGAGTGGATTAATTAGTGTAGCCAGTTGACTCTGTTGTTAATCAGTAAGGGGGAGGATGCCAAACCAGGCACACTTCTAAATGCCGTGATCGTTGCAAGTAATTTCAAAAGCCTGGGTTAAAAATTCAAAAGCGGGAATTTACTGCTCTTGCCCCCAGATGTTTGCCTTTAGGTCTCCTGGACCCATACAGGGCTTATGATCTGGCCACCTTAATATTTGCCGCTCAGTTGTGGGTTGTAGGGTGTGCTTTTATGTACTGTATTTCTTAATTATTTTCCAGGCCAAAGACAGAATCCAGTACTACCAAACGGGTGAGACCTTTATTTTTCCCTATGACATGGGAAGTAAATGGAAGAACTTCAAGCAAGTGTTTACATGGTCTGGGATTCCAGAGGGAGATGGCCTGGATTGGCCAGTAAGAGATGGCTGTCATCAATACAGTTTGACGGTAATTGATCTTCAGTGGTACCTCATGTTCATCAACCCCACTATCCAACTGCCCACTTACCTCTGCAGTAATATACCAGCTTTTTAAACAACTGAACCAGACTGACTAGTAATACATATATATACTTAAAAAACAGGAGTTCTGTCGAATGTTCTCCTGTTTTTTATAGACCAAAAAGTTGTGCTTTTAAGTACTAATGATACTTCCTGTGTTTGTTGAATGGTTTCAATACCTGACTTCATTTGTGCTGCATACACAAGTCCTCTTAAATGAAACACTGCCTAAATTTTTATTTATAATCATTTATAGATAGAGCAACTGAAACAGAAAGCAGACAAGCGAGTAAGAAGTGTAAGTATTTGTGAAGTTTGGTCTGAAATTACTTTGAAATACCAATATAAATAAATGCAAGTAATTGCTGAAACTATTTCTTTTCTTGATTTTAAACCTAGCAATTAAAGAAAGATTTTGTGTTTCCACACAAACAGTGTGCTGCAACTTCTGCTTAATTAAACTTAGCATTTAGCTTTCTTTGCGTTTGCTCCTTAGTTTCCAGATGGGAAAAAACATCATCATAAAGATGACTGTGCTTCATTGTTAAGCACTTAATTTAGAATTCAGAAGCCCTTTGGCAGCTGTTGTCAATATGCTCACATCTAACTGTATGCCTGAACTGATTTTTCTGTATGAAACTGTCAGCAAGGCTGTAATTCCTTCCAATAATGTTGTGTCCTGTTCAAATTTGTAGGTGCGGTATCGAGCAGTAGAAGATTACAGTGGTGTCTGCTGCCCTGTGACTAAAGGTGTTAAAACATTCTTCACAACACCGTGCACTGAAGAACCTAGAATTCCACTGAGTAAAGGGGATCTGATTTTAGCCACAAGAGGCTTAAAGTTAGTGGCTCCACACCTTTATGTTTGGTTAAAAGAAATAATGAGATGAGTTCTGGCAGCTAATGACCTCTTACACTTTCTTCCCCAGACACTGGATGTATGGTGAGAAGATTCTCGACTCAGCTGCTGATGGTATGAAGCAGTTATTTTCACTTTTTCTTTTGAAATTTGCAAATCAATTTTATAGCTGTCTAGAAATGTGAACAATATTACATGTTTGGTTTTCAAAATGAAGAATGACTGACCTGATTGGCATTAGCTCCTCTCCCCTCTAAAACCAAATCTGCTTTACCTCTGGTAGATCTACCAGTTTTTATAAACATTAGATGAATCTGTCAGGCTGAAAGAACATTCGTCGGCTATTTTATTGAAGGTTGGAAGCGAAGGGGGACACTTTTTTCATATCCTAAGAAAAAGTTAGACTTCTAGACTCTTGAGAGAGATTAATGGTGATTTTTTTTTTTAATATATATTTAAATAGTGGTCTTTCTTAAATGCGTTCAGATTTCCTACCTAAACACCCCCTATACATATAAGACCTGGGATTAATCTCTGTACATCTTAAAAACAAGGTGTTGTCATGTGATCGATTCCAAAACCTTTGACGTGCATTTACTTAACTACAGCTGTCAAAGTTGGTAAAGACTCCTGGTCTGCAGAGAGACAACACCACAGCCACCTTCATTGAAAGCTTTGGTTTTTACTTTAGCCATCGTGCTTAGGACTGGGCTAGAATTTTACCTGCCAGACTTACCATTGAGGGTGCATTGGATTCTGTTGTCTTTTCCAAACAATTGTGAATTCACTGTATGTACATTCCTTGTTAGCAAAAGAGAGGCAGCCAACAGATTGGCTCACCAGGCTGAAAGTGTCCATGCTTTTCATGGGAGGTTGGAGACCTTCATGGACTAGAAGTGCTTCGATAGCTCACTCCATTGAACTCTTTCAAACATCAGACCTAAATGAGTTGTTGAATGAGCATGGTAATGGTTTGTATTGTGATGCTTATTACCTGTGCTATATCGGATGTTTGTTTTAAATCAGGTGAAATGTGGTCTGGGTGGGCAGCTTGGTGTATACTGAGAGGCTGGATTAGAATTCAAAATAACATGCGCATTTTGGAGAAGGAAGCTCCAAAAACAGGATGCCCTTTGTTAGGAATGTACAGCAAAATGCTATAAATAGGGAGGAATAACAGGCTGCACTAAAACAAGATGGAAAAATTAATGATTAAGTAGCAGTTATTCAGAGGAAAACAACAGTCAGTCATAATGTTAAGATGAGTCAACACTTGCAAAAAAAGAAAAAAGCATATCTCTTCCCAGATGCATGAAGTAATCCTTCCATCCTACTCAACATTGGCAGAGACTCAGCTGAAATACTGCCATGGGTAAAAGCAGTTACTGCATTTCAAGAAAGAGGGACATCAGCTGTAAAGGGTTGAAAGGGAAACACTGAGAATAATCAGAGTACTAGAAAATGTGACTTGTAAGGGAAAGCTGAAAGAATTGGGGTGGCTTACCTAGGGAGGAAAAGGAGATGATAAGAGAAAGTCAGAGTGTGCACAAAGAGTCGTCAGCTGCATGGAAGTATGTTGTAGAGAAGGCTGTTAGGTTGTTCCTGGTGTATAGAAGGAGGAATTGTGAACTTGAATTCTAGACAGAAAGATTTAGATAGGGTATTAGGAAAGAATTTCTAACAGTAAGGAAGGTAGAGTACCAGAAAAGTTCGGAGATCTCCACATTTTAGGTAATGAGAGAGACTCCGTGTGTCCCCAGGCAATGATGTTAGGAATGACAGATGTCCTGCCTTGGAGAAGAAAATAAACTAGGTAACCTTGATGGCTCTTCAAGTCCTGTGTGTTTTTCCTCTATAGTGGGTGATGTTTTCTTCCAAGTTAATGCAACTTTTCATGTCTTAAGGTGGAATAAGAGAACGAGGCTGGTTCCCTAGGAAATGTGTGGAAAAATGCCAATATGACTCTGAAACGGATCAACCAGTGGATGGAGAGAAGAAAAAGAGATAGCCTTCTGATTTTTTTTAAATAAGAAATGGAATTTTTACTTCAGACCACAATCCTTTACTTATGCAATGAACATGTTAGGACAAAGTTTTCTCTTCTTTGCAGCTGAAAGGGTTGGATATACCTGTGCCATGGTTTGCATTCTTTTTAAACAATAAATAATTAAAGAAGCCATTCAGTGGATTGCCTTCAAGATAGATCTTTTTCGTACTGTCAGGGTTTGTTTTTTTTTTTTCTTTTTGCGGTTTAAATTGCATTCTGAAGGTTCCTATTTTAGGGTTTTTTTTTTTCTCAACCGCATCTGATTGTGATGCGTGCTGCTTTATCTTTTGTGGTTTACTTTCTCTGAAGCTGCCCCTGAAAACTATAAAATAAACCTCTGATTCAAATTCAAGATGAGATTTGTTACCTGTGACTTTTAATGATGTGAATTGTCCACCTTGAATAAATGATATTCATATTCACTTGTGGATGTAATTGTTCTGAGACCTACAAGAACTTGTTTAGAGGCGTGGGAATGTGAACTGACTGGGAAGTAAAGATTTCACTGAGTTGTTTTTCAAGGTTAAAAAGACTTCAGCTCTTGCTATAAGAATATTCTGTGCTTTTAATGGCCAAAAAAATATAGCCAGCTCTGTCTGCTCCCCCTGAAATCTGAGCATGTACCCAAGAGACCAGAGTTCGTGATTCATCTCAAAGAGAAGCAGTAGTGCCATGAATCAAAAATTTTGTGAGCGTAGTTACTATTAAGTGTTTAACATCTTTCCTAAAGTGTTTTTATTTAGGGTCAGGTATGGATTATTAGAAGGAAGACCTTACTATGGAGTAACTTATACTAGGTGAAGTCTTTCTAAATGTATCCTAAATGCAACAGGTGCTTTTGTTCTCTCATAGTCTTCATTCAGCCTTGTGTTTATACAGATCTTGGTGGTACTAGACTTAACTGTCCCCAACTGATTTGCTCATCAGAACCCACAACCAGTTTAAGTATACATTTCTTCTTCCCTCCCTCTGTTTTTCCTCTTTCTCCTCAGTTCCTGATGGAAAAGATTAAGCCATTAGTTGCTTTAAGGAAAGATAAGCAGCAGAGTTACATGCACTTTCAGAGTTTTACAAGCCTTTATAGCCTCAGGTTATAACAAACTCAGTAACTGACCCAACAGTTACCTAAAAATGTCAAGGCCTTTGGGCCTAGACTAGAAACAGAATTAGGTCAGTTGTTGTTACTTGCCAGAGGTGCCTCTCAGCAAGGGGTGGGTCTTTCCTCACCAACAAATCTGCTGGTTGCTTTCATTTTGATATATCTGACCAAGAGCATTAAATTCAGAGGAACAGCCACTAGGTGTAAGAATCTGGTGCAGACAGGGACAGTTGGCATAGAAAAGCTATATGTACTCCCCTCCTATGTTACACCCTTGTTAGCACTGAATTGCCTTTTAGACAGAGCAGACTGCTACAAGGACAGGGAGGAACTGTCAGCAGAGACAGCATACACTGATTCAAAAATGTTTCTAAATATAAAGGCAGTACTCATCCTGCCTAAGTAGTTTTCTAAAGAAACAGCTTTAGCCTTAGAAAATTATATCTGATGCCTTATTTCATGTGACAGGCTGAGCTGGAAGAATGGATTTATGCTGAAGCTGTTGGGATATATTGCCGTACTACAAGCAAAGGAAAGTTCAGTGGAGGAGCAACATCCAGTCTGGCACTGTCATTGGCTTGAGCTGTGGCTGAGCAGTGACAGCATGGGAAACAGGTTAGCTTTCCGCAGCAGTTGTGCTCTAGCTGCAGCTGTACAGAACACGGCAGCAGTAAACCTTCCTGCTCACAGCCTGGTTGCAGCAGAGAAACAAGTCGCACAGGCTTTGGTTTGATTGTGCAGTTACAGTTTATTGCATCCTATATCCTTAGGAATGACAGCTAAAGTTTTAACACTTATCAGGCTCAAATTTGTAAGTGTAGCTTTATAACTGCCATTGCATAGATCCAGTGCCTCCTAGCCTAGAGTATAAGCTAGGTTTGCTTTAGACATGTACTTTGTAAACCAGTTGATGCCAGACTGCTCATTTTCATTAAAAAAAAAAAGCCATACCATGTGGTCCAGGGCTAGGAACAGGAAGTTCACTTCTGTATTTGCTGAACAGATGTTAAGTTCCAATTCATATTGTGACAGCTTGAGTTGAGGAAGCTTATAGCATCTCCAGTGGAAAGGGGAGTGTTATGTTCCTGCACTTGGGTTTTGAAGCATATTCCTACTCCCTCCTTCCCCCACCCCCAACATGTAACTGCATGAAAGAGTTCAGTCTGATTGCAGATCAACCCACAAAAGGTCATAATGGAGTTCATAGGTGGAATAGGAAAACAAGATTTGCTTTTGACAGAAGTTCATACAGCTGCCTTTTAAAAGCTGAGGCTCTGGAGTGGTTTTGCACTTTAGTCACAGTCCAAGGAAACAAAGTTCTGGCTTTGCCTAGACAGCAGATGCTTAGTCCTAAAAGATGTGAACACTGCCAGTTTTTAGTTATACGCTAGCCATCTTCATCTGAAAGGCATTTTTCCCAGGATACCAGAAGCAATATATTTGAGTTCTCCTTGCTTCCCTGCACTCATGCGTGTGTTCTCCATAGGTCATGCAGAGTCACAGATTTGTTTGGATACTCCATGCAGTTAAATTTAACTGGCCACTTATTCCTGCATACTTGAATAGAGGGCCTCAATCTGTTTCTGGAAGACTTTAACAACCTCTGCTCGCTTTGCCTTCAGTGTTGGTGTCAAGAGTCCGTTTTCTACAGAGAACATCTCTGTGTGGATGTACAGGTCTTTAACCTATTAAAAAAAAGTAATTTAGCACATGGCACATATAACTGGGAAGTCTGTCCTCTAGTCATTATGTATATACATTTATATAAACTTGAGTTTTAGAGATATAGATACCTATATCTATCTATCTATATAAACTAAGATCTTCCCAGCTTCCTTGAGCTGAGTGCAAGACCCAGTCTCAGGAGCTCCAGTAACTGAACTGTTTTTTGATGCAAGTCAAACTCCTTTTGGCTGTCAGAGCAAGATGATAGGCTGGAACTACATACAGTACATAGGCTCCTTCAGCCTATGGTGACCCTCCATCTCATGGCAGTTGCTACTGTTGCTCTGTACAACCACCTGCCTCTTGGTCAGGAGACACGCAGCCAGTCAACATTTCACTGCCTACTTCAATTACTTGTCCAGGGCAGCTGTCTTGGGTCCTATCCTGGTGCAGTCAATAACAGGAATGAAGACTTCCCAGCCATTGCATTAGCAATACAGGTGCTTACAGCAAGCAGAATCTGGAAGTACTCACTTGTTCAAAGGATTTAAGGCCAGCCTCTTTCCCCAGTCTGACCAGATCTTCTAAAATAGCTTTCTTCACTGCCTAGAAGAAACAGCAGGAGCAGAGTGGGTAAAGCTGCCATTTTGTAATTACAACTCAAGACCATACCCATTGCCTAGTCAGTGAAAACAGGTTGGCAAGAATTTCTGTACATATTTCAACATTCAACATTTCTCATAAGGCCACTACAAGGTCATGTCTATCTTCTCATTGGAAAAGAAGCAGTGATAGCCCTTGAAACGTCAAGGCAGCTATACTTTTCAGTTTTTACTGTAGGGCTGCTTGCATGACTCACCTAGCGTTAAGTGAGTTTAATTTACTAAAAAGATGGGTAAAATGAAGGCTAAGCAATGCATGATTGGATTTCAGAATTAAATTCTATCTATAACCCATTAAAAACAAAGCTACTCACTGGATTTTTGCAGACCTCTTCATAGGAACCTTTTAGTCCTAGTTTTGCTGCAAATTGTGGAAGTGTCTCGGGATCAGGAACAACTATACCTATTAGAAACGACTGAAAACAAGTGGAAGTAGTCATAATGAGACCAAGATAAGATACCTGAAATTACACTGATTGTCTACATGAACTTGATGGTGGACAGTGTCTCTATAGCAAGCCACAGCTACATCCCCATCCATTTCTGAAAGGATACTCTTATAAACATGGCACTCTCGATAACAGATCTTGTTCAAGGACTCTTGTATATGCATACATCTGTGCCTAATCTTCCAGAACTCATTGTGGAAAGAATCTTGCAGGATGCTCCTCACATCACTTACCCTCAGGCTTTCCCCGTGTACAAAGACTTGGGCTACAGGAGTACTTCTGATGTAGACATTTTCTATCTTCTCTGGAGCAATGTATTCTCCTTGTGCAAGTTTAAATATATTTTTCTTCCTATCGATGATCTTTAGCGTTCCATTCTAGAAGTTAAAGTTGGAGACCATCAGTTTCAAGTCTGTCTTGCTTCTATAAGAAGATAATAGGTTTGGGTTTGTTGTATGGAAGGCACATGCTAGTCTGGAACTGGTCTTTGCTCTTTACAGAGAGAAGGAGCACTTTGTCTAATTTCTACAGTTAGCTCAGGACATGGTTAGACAGCTCCTCTATTCTCTGACAGAAGCCAAGACACCTTATTGTTCTTCACTGTGGAAGTGACCATCTTTATTGGCCTAGTAGGTGCTACTTGAGGAATTGTAATCCTAGAATTCACTTCTCCAGCTTTTCAGATTACTGTACACTAGCCAGGAACTCACATCCAAGGGATGGTTTGTGTTAAGCAATTACTTACTGGCAACCATTTCCCTATGTCTCCAGTGTGGAGCCAGCCATCTTTATCAATTGCTTCTGCTGTCTTCTCAGGGTCCTTCAGGTAACCCTTGAACACATTTGGTCCTTTAATGCAGATCTATAGCAAGCACAGAACATCGTTAGTCACCAAGACTTATGTTTCAGTATTTCCTGACACACACAGGAGATGGTTCCTACCTCGCCTTCATTGTTAGAAGAGTAGTAGTTCATTTCTTCCACATCATCTAGTTTTATGATATTACAAGCCAGAGGGGCTCCAACATGGCCTAAGAGAAAGAAAACCAAGGACCATTCTGTTTTGGGGATTCTGCTAGCAGTTGGCCCTATTTGATCTAAAGCTTGAAAGACTAGGTCTTGAAGTGAGATGGGAGAACTCAGGTA